AATGAGGTAATTAGGTCTAATAGGGCGGGTCGGCTTGTAACCCATCGCGAGCCGTGCCGGCCTGAAATCCAACAAGTTGGCCCGTTTAAAGCCCATTTATTAAATTATACTTGTTTCGGAAAAAAATAATACATAATATTATAATATTTATATCTTAAATTTAAGTCTATTTCTTTTCTCTAATATATATTAAATTTAATATTTTCTTTATATATAAAATAATGATTTTGTTTTTCAAGTTTCAAATTTTTTAATCTAGCCATTTTCTATATAAATGTACTTTAAATAAAGTTATTGACCTCTTTTTTTAACAAATAATAAATTTTATTAGTACGTACATAATTGTAAAAAGATTTAAATGATGTTGTAAAAAAATGACAAAAACAATGAAATATATAAGTTAAATTTAGCGTGAGCTCATATCGGCATGTTTAGTGGCCAGGCATGAGCACGAGCAGAGCTCATGGGCTTAGGCCGGGATTGATGATTTTTCTAAATGAGCGGGCCCGACACGACCCATTTATTAAATGGGCTGACTCTAAACGGGCAGGCCGGGGCCAACACAGTGCTCTAATTGGGAGTGAGAATTGTCATTCCTAAACAGCTTCTAGAAACTTATTCTCTAATTAATTTAGCATTATTGTGGCAGTAAATAAATTTATCCACCAAAATTATTCATTATAACGATAATTATTGTTGGACGCGTATGACATTTCGCCTATAAACTCAAAAGAAAACACATAAGTAATTTTAAGGGTCATTGACAAATAAGAAAAAAAATAGTGTGTCAATTGAGTAAAATAAAAGTTCTTGGTCCATTTTTATTGTCGTTACACTATATTTTCAAGCAAGTTTGAGTTAGTTGTTTAGCAAGATTAGGGTTTTACATAGGGGCAAGAGGGTTCAATTGACCCATGCAAACCCAGAATCAACCATAGGAGCTGAAGAACTTGCCCCAAAGATGAAGCAGCCATAGCACACATAGGCAGCAAGCAGCTTGCCGCGAGCGCATCAGTCAGCAGCCCAGTGCCTTTTTCTTCTCCCTACATCAAAATGATGTTGTTCTACTTACGAGTTTTTATTTTATTTTAAATATTTATATAAAAAAAACCTAGCCAAAACGATGTCGTTTTGGCTCAGTTGTTTAAAAAAAAATTAAAACGTATGCAGCGGCTCTACTACCTGATAAAACAGATTTGGGGGATGGTTTTAACTCAATGCTCTCATTCAAACCCTAAATCCCCAACCCCAATCCAGTCCCTAGACCCAACCTTCACCCAATCCAATCCGATGGCCTCCCCATGTGAATCTCCCTTTGACGCTAGCAAACCCCAAATTCAATGTGGTTTGAAATTTGGTCTCAAAATTGAAAGTATGTTATCATATTCCCAATCTTTTTATGATTTGATTTGATGAGATTGATTAATATGTTGATTAGTTTGAATGAATTAGAGTTTTTAATTAATTAAAATATGTTAGTTTGTATGTCTAATATGATGGGTTTTATATTTTTCCTCATATTGAAAGTATGTCATCCTAATTTCTAATCTCTTTATTATGCTTTAATTGATTAATAAAGATTCTTGTACATTTTTGTTCTTTTTGATTAGTTGTTGTTGTTGATTGCATTTGTTAGAAATTTTTGATTATATTGTTTTTGTGTGTGTTTGTTAATTAATGGAGATTCTTATGTAAATTGGTTTAATTTATTAGTTGTTGTTGTTGATTGAATAAATTGAATTATTTTTGTGTTTGTTAATTAATGAAGATTCTTATATATTTTGGTTAGTTAGAATAAATGTCGGCAATTTGGATTATTAATTAGTTCGTATTTTTTTTTAATAGAAAGTTATGGAGCCATACTTTAAGAGAAAGTTCTCATAAACTACTTATAGTTCAAATAATGTGGGTAGTTAGAACTCAAGAGATGTGGGTAGTTCGAAAGAAAATAAGTTGCAAGATTTTATGAATAATCTTCATGCAGACCCTGGACTTCGACCTTAAATGTTGGATTATGATCCTAACATTCAAGACGAAGTCCAAAGAACATATCTACACAAGGTCCCTGTCAACCTAAGAATCACACATTTCCACAAATCAATCTTTCAGGGTATGATCGACGCTTTAATGTCAAGTGGTTTGGTGAGTTTGACTGGTTGGAGTATAGTATAAGTAAAGATGCTGCATTTTGCTTTAATTGTTATCTCTTCAAATCCAATTTCAAAATTGGTCAAGGGTGTATTGATGCTTTCACAAAGATGAGTTTCAGAAATTGGAAGAAGAAAGAAAGAATTAGGAATCCTATTGGAGGTGTTGGAAGTGTTCATAATCAATCTAGACAATATTGTTTAGATCTTATGAATCATAAACAGCACATCCAAACAGTTTTGGGCAAACACTCATAACAAGCTCTTATTGATTATCGTATTTGCTTGACAGCTGCACTTGATTGTGTGAGATTTTTGTTGAAGCAAGGTCTTGCTTTTCGTGGCCATGATGAGAGTGGCACTTCAAACAAGGGGAATTATTTGGAGCTCTTACAATTTCTTGCTGATCATGATGAGAAAGTGAAGGTCATTGTGTTAGAAAATGCTCTAGGGAATCTCAAGCTCATAGCTCCAACAATTCAAAAAGATCTTGTTAATGCTTGTGTCACTGAAACTATTAAGAAAATCATTATGGATATGGATGGTGCATTCGTTTCTTTATTAGTTGATGAATCACCTGATGTGTCAATAAAAGAACAGATGGCAGTGGTGTTTCGTTATGTTGACAAAAAGGGGGATATAATTGAAAGGTTTGTGGGCATTCAACATGTTAGCGACACTACATCAAACTCACTAAAGGAGGCTATTGACAAATTGTTTTCAAGAGAGGAATTAAGCATTTCTATGCTAAGAGGACAAGGATATGATGGAGCTAGTAATATGAAGGGTGAGTTCAATGGTCTTAAAACACAGATTTTGAGAGAAAATCCTTGTGCCTATTATATTCATTGTTTTGCATATCAACTTCAATTAGCTCTTGTGGCCGTGACAAAGGGAAATGCTGATATTGCCACTTTCTTCACATCATGCAATAGCTTTGTTAATATTGTTGGAGCATCGTGTAAACGTCGTAACATGCTTAGGGATCAACTACAAAAGGATACTACAGAAGCTTTTGAAAAAGATAATCTTCCAAAAGGGCGAGGCTTAAATCAAGAAACTTGTCTCAAGCGACCCGGTGATACACGTTGGAACTCACATTACGATACATTACTTAGAATCATTTCCATGTTCAAATATGTAGTGAAAGTGCTTAAATTGATTATTGAGGATGACTCCACTAATAATATAGGTGAACCAAATAGGTCATTGAGAGAAATACAATCTTTTGAGTTTGTATTTCACCTATTTTTCATGAGATCTATATTGGGAGCCACCAATGATTTGTCACAAGTATTACAGAAGAATGATCAAGACATTGGGAATGTAATGACTTTAGTTAAAGATTGCAAGGACCAACTACAACACATGAGAGAGAATGCATTTGAAGCTTTGCTTGATCAAATATCTTCCTTTTGTGGAAAACATGATATCAAGATTCCAAACATAGATGATGCACATGTAACTCAATGGAGATCGCATTGGAGAACTCCTAGAATAACACACTCCATCATTATCGTGTGGACATCTTTATTCAAATCATTGAGTGACAACTTGCAGAATTAAATCATCGCTTCAGTGAGGTAAATACTGAGTTGCTTCTTTGTTTGGCATATTTGAGTCTGGATGATTCATTCATAGCTTTTGACAAACAAAAGCTACTTCGTTTTGCTGAATTTTATCATCAAGATTTTACTCCCCGAGACCTCTTGGAACTTGAAGATCAACTTGGGATTTATATTCATCATATGCGTACAAGGAGCGATTTTTCTCAATTGAAAGGGATTGGTAGCCTTGCAAGAAAAATAGTGGAGAAAGGGTTACATATAACATTTACTTACGTTTATTTGCTTCTCACATTAGACTTAACTTTACCGGTTGCAACAGTTTCTGGGGAGAGAGCATTTTCTGCGATGAATATTGTGAAAGGTCCACTTCACAACTGAATAGGAGATCAATGGTTGAGTGATAACTTACTTCTTTATATTGAGAAAGATATGTTTGTTTGTATTGATAATGAAATTATAATGCAACGTTTTCAGAATATGAAAACTCGTTGTGGACAATTGTAATGTGGTTTTTTCTATTAATTACGAATTATAATATTTTCTTTTCATTTTTTCGGTCAATTTTGTATAGAATTTTTTTTTAACCTTTTAGACGTTGACCCCTACAAGGAAAATTCAAGCATCCGCCACTGGTTGCCCACCCTCTTTTGGGTGCACCCGACTATCAAGACTAGCTTATTATTGTACAAACTCCTTTTTTTATACTTGAATAAGAATTCATTTCATATTGTTAAATAAATTAAGTATTCTCTTTTTCCATAGAGATTCTAATGTATCATAGTATTTAATTTTATGCTCATCTAATACTTTTATCACATATATTACTCCATCATAACCAATTATGAACATAAATAACTAAGGCTACACCAAGACTACCTGATTTGGGGCAAGTGGGGAGATAACCAAGAGCTTACAAAGTAGTGTGCAAAAAGTAGTTGTTTCTAGTATATGTTGGTTCTTTCGTTTTGCAACACCATTTTGTTGTGAAATTTGAGGACATGTAGTATTATGAAAAATTTCACTAGTACTCTGCATATCATTTACAGCCAAGTCTATAATCAATGGTATCCTTATTGAGGATCTTTTGTAAAAGGGAGTAGGTAGAGCAGAAAGTTACAAAGCATAAATCCTTTTTTTTTTTTTAAATAAAAAGTTTGGAAGGGGGAGAGGAAGATTCTATTGGGGTTCGAACCTAAGACAGCTGATCTGCAAACAAATGCTATTACCATGAGCTATGGACTCGTTGGCAGTTACAAAGTAATTTAACTGGTCAAAAATCTAGCTAACATAAAGTAAATTATTAGCAAGATATGGTACCCGTAAGTTAAATTTGAGAGATAATTGTTGCAGAATATAAATCCCACATCGGAAACTTGATTAGATGAATGATTCCACTATTAATATCATCGAGACCTTTTGTATAAAACTCTACACTTGCTAAACATGTGGTTAAGTTGGGGACAATATCAATATTACTAGCAGTGGACCAAGAATTCGTCCCTCTAAAATTTTAACAATAATGAGGTCAGACAACACCTACCTAAGTCACGGGACGATGAGTACCATTAGCATTTGCAAATTGCCACAACAATCCTCTTAGGTAGAAATACTCAAAGGAAAGTCATACGAGGTAGAAATTACCAGTGTCAAAAGTCATATAAGTCACACCAAATTCAAAGCAGAAATTGAAGTAGAAATACTCAAAGCAAAGCAAAGATTACCTAAGTAGGGTCTAGAGATGTAGTTCACAATTGTAGATAAACTACATATCACCCGCCATCTACAAGGTAACAAAGGGTACGAGTAGGTAAAGCATCGGTGGATCCAAAAAACCTTATCGTCGCCACTTGCCATCTTGGTTGGTGTGTGGCTATGAGGTAAGAAAAACTTATATAAGGTTATGGTTTAAATGTTGGGTTGAGGTGAATGTAGTCCAAGGTGGAGGATCAATCGCTTTAATACCATGTTTAGATTTTAGAAATGAATTAACATTCCATTACTTCCAACACCGATATTGTCCTAAACTAAACCATCAACATAGTCCGCAAGATATAATGTTTTATCACAAAATGCTTCAATGTTATTAGTAGTGAAATCACTCACTTATATGTTTTATTTTATCAAGTCTTCAACGTCGAATTTCACTTTCTTCGACAAATGATCCAATTTAAATCAATTTTAGACACTGTATGTGGCCTAAGGATTTTAGCAAGCTTCCTATTTTTTTTAAAAAAAATCATGGTAAAAGGGTTTGGGTGTATGCCAACTTTTAATCAAGATGAGAAAATTAAAAGTTATGCAGTAGTAGTTGTCTTCAGTTATTGATGCCTGAACGAACTCCTTGTCTCCAGTGGGAGCGGCAGATGGGTGGTGGTGGAGGTGGCAGTGGTAGTGGTGGTGCTAGGGGGGTCGTGACGATGGCGGTAATGGTGGTAGAGACGACGATACAGTGGTGGTGGCGGTGGCGGCGACGACAGCTATGGTGATAGTCATGATCAAATGGTGGAAGTAGAAGTGGTGAAATCATATCTTGAGAATAAAAATAATATATCTATGAAAATTTCTGGGGGAAACAAAGATTTGTCATGGCCTAAAAATAGTCTATTATCAAATGAAATCCACCACTTTTTGTATTTCCTTTAAAATCAATGAGTTTTTTAATACACCCAAACTTTTATAAATTCTTTTAAAGTCGTGATTGAATATATCTAAATTTGAATGGAATTTAAAAAGTCTAAATTAAATACACTCAGAATTGAATAGACTTTTATAAAATCATGATTGAATATACCTAAACTTTTAACTTATTTAAAATCTTTTAAAATCTAAATTGAATACACCCCCCTAAAATGTCATATTGCTATATATTTTAGTGTTAAAGCTTGTCAAGGTCTACAAAAATTATACGTTCCACTCATCTCATATTCCCAATATATAGATTAAAATTGTTTTGGCATGTTGCCATTTGTAGGACCTATAATGAGATAAAATTGGACAAAATGAAGCTCTTGTTGTGGAGGAGAACCATTCAGCATCGCTTGGTAAAGTGACAAGTTTGAATTGACTTCAACTAGGATCATGAAATGTATCATCCTCCACCAAATGAATTGACTACTAGCCCTTTACATTTAATAAAATTATGATAAATATAGAAGACAGTGAGTCTCTCTACTTGTCATATCTGAAGGAAATTGAGGTTTCACTCCCAAACCAATTGACAATGGGGGGAGTAGCTCAACTCCTTATAAGCCCTTGTTAGGTTTCTCAATTTTCTAATGTGAGATTTTTTACCTTCACATTCTTATATGTGAGCTAACCCGCTCTGATACTATGAAGGAAGTTGAGGTTCCACCCCAAAACTAATTGGCAATGGGGAGAGTAGCTCAACTCATTATAAGCCCTTGCTAGGTTTCTTAACTTTCCAATGTGGGACTTTTTACCTTCACATTCTCACAATCTTGTTACTCTTTATCTCAATTACTAGAGGTGTAAAACGGGCAGTACTGGGCCTGCCTATTTATGAAAATCATCAATCCCGACCTGAGTTCATAGTCCTAGCTCATATGGGCTACGACTGTGCTCGTGTCAGGTCACTAAATGGGCCGAGATGGGGCCACGCTCAATTTGACTTATGTATTGCATTTTGTTTTTATAATTTTTTTTTTACAACTTCATTTAAATCTTTTTTACAATGATGTTATACAAACAAGGTTTATTATTTGTTGAAAAAAGAGGTCAATAACTTTATTTAAAGTACATTTAAATAGAAAATGACTAGATTATTATTTGTATATTTAAAAATTGAAACTTGAAAAACAAAATCATTATTTTATATATAAAGAAAATATTAAATATTAATACATATTATTAGAGAAAAGATATAAATGTAATAATATTATGATTATTTTTCTCTAAAATAAATATAATTTATTAAATAAGCTTTAAATAGGTCGTCAAAACTGGACCCATTAGACTTAATTACCTCGTCCCAACTTGCCTAAAAATACAAACCGCATCGGATTGAACCTTACTTTAACGTGCCATATCAGGCTTTACTTTAACGGGCCGCACTCGAGCCGACCTGGTCCGTGAGACATCTCTATCAATTACTCATATTTCTCTGTCAAAGTTTGGCGTAGCCTTAAAAGATAGGAAGTAAATGACATTCAAACATGGACCCTTGATTTGTACACTACACATCATGTCCATGTTGTCTTTTAGCCAATAATAATTTGTCCAATTTATTATGGGGTGTCTGTCCCCTTCTTTACTCTCTCCAAACCTCAGTCTTGTTTTGGACTTTATCTTTTTCCCATTCTTGTTTCTTTTAATCTATTAAGCCTTTGTCTTCATGTAAATTATGATGGCAAGAAATGAACCAAAATACAATTGTATGATAGAGGGCTCCTGTGCATATTGGTTGGCTTGTGGCCCAGAAGAGTACTGTATACAGTAATAGTATCATGCCAATGGATGATATGGCAGAATAAAAATCTCATGTCATGCAAAACAGTGAGCTCCATTTTCCATGAGAGGCAAACCAATCATGATGCGTAATACATTGTGATTGCATACATGGTTATGCACAGTTCCAAAAAATAAAAAACTAAAAACAACACATGATGGGTACAAATTGAACAATTCGAATCATTAGATGACATTGTAGAGTGAGCTCAAATGAGTGGTTAATGGCATATTAATTACTAACCGGTTAGCACTTGAGTGGTCCTTAATGGGGCAAAACCCAACGATACGTGGTGAAACGGGAATTTAAACCTTGCTTCAGTGTAAGTATATGCTCTTAATCATTAGAGCTAGAAGGTCTAAGAAACCAAGCTTGAAATACAAATAAGCTATTGTATTCTATTGAAGCAAAAACTATTAAAATCAACTGTCGAGCTTGCAAAAGGCTATTACATAGTATGTAGACAAACAAAGCAAGAGTTATTTATCAAATCCTTGAATACACAAAATAACAATAGCGACTTGGTTCAACCA